ATAATAATGCCTCCCGAGTGCTGGGATTAAAGGTGTGCGCCACCACGCCCGGCTACAAATACTCTTTCATAGTAGATAAAATATTTTTAAAAGAGGCTAAAGGAGTGCCAAGATGGGGCCACAGGGCTCCCTCCCAGTTCACCCGATTACTGTCCCACCTGTCCCATCCAGAAAGACCAAGAATGGCAAGGAAAGGAAAGGGAGCCAGGCAGGAGGCCCACACAGCAAGTGGAGCTGATCTCCCAATGGAAGGATGCTTGGGAGGAGGGGTCTTCTGGGTTCTGCCCGGCATGGGCCTGGGTTTGCTATTTACCTGCTCTGTGACAAGTTCCTTCCTCTCTCAAGGCCTCTGTTTCTCTACCTGAAGAAGGAGAGTATTGGGCAAGATGGCCTAAAAAAGACTCCCACACCTCTAACTTTTTGTCGTTGTTTGGGTTTTTTGTGACAAGGTCTCCCTGCAACCCAAGCTTGTTTGGAACTCACTATGTAGCCCAGGCTGGCCTTGACCTCACAGAGCTCCACCTGCCCTCTACCTCCCAAGTGCTGGGATTAAAGGGTCTCATAGATCCCAGGCTGGCCTCCAATGCACTATAGCCAAGGATGAAACTGAACTCATGATTCTCCTGCTTCCATCCCACCAAGGACTGGGATTACAGCACCCACTACCACCCCTGGTTTAACTTTTGAGGGTTCTGTGTGGACAGACTCTGGAACTCAATTGCCTGGGTTTGAGGCTCAGCTCCTCCACTTGCCAGTGGGACCTTGGGCAAATAATCTATCCTCTTGGGTCTCAGTTTCTTCATTTGTCAAAGTTGTGCAAGAACTTCACAAGGTTGCACAAGTATGTACTTCAAAGGACAGAATGGAATGACACATGCATAGAGTAAGTGCTCGATATATGCTAGGACAAGGCTTCGAGTGGTACAGTCCAGGCTGAGCACAAGGGCTTCTGGGATCTGGTGTTTGGGATGACTGGGGGGAAGGCATGGGATGCACATCAAAAGGTTTGGGGAAGCTAAATGTAGTGGCTTATGCCTTTAATCCCAGCAAAGGGAAGCAGAGGCAGGCAAATCTCTGTGAGTTTGAGGCCAGTCTGGTCTATATAGTGAGTTCTGTGTCAGCAACTATATAGTGAGACCCTGTACAAAAAAACACTTGGAGGAAGTGCACTCCAGGTCCTGTGCACTCCGCCAAAGCTCTCCAAGGGCCGAACCACAGGACTCCTTCCCCCTCCCCCCAACAACCTCCCCCCTTACATACCCCAAGCCAAGAAGCCTGGAAAAGCCCGTAGCTCAGGATATGACCGGACAGAGAGCCTAGTGACCACACGGGGGCAGCAGAGAACCGATGAGAACTGCCTGAGCTGCTTGGTTTCAGGAGACAGTGGGGGTTGGGGTCCGAAAATGGGGCAGAAGGCTAGGGACCGCGATCCTTGGAGCAAGTTGCGGCTGGAGAGTAGCGACTTCTCTGCAGACCCCCCTCCCACCTCTGGCCACATGTTGTACCTATTTATTCTTGCAGGCATCTGCTCCTTCATCTCTTCAGCTGGATTCTTTTAATACCCTTTCTTCCCTCTCTTCCTTTCTTCCTTCCTCCCTTCCTTCCATCTTTTCCTCCCTCCCTCCTCTCCTTCCCTCTTTCCTTCTCTTCCTCACTCTGTCCTTTTCCTTCCCTTCCTGTGATTGTCCCGCCAGGCTGTTAATTAGACATATCTGGAACCACAGCTGGCGCCAGCCTGAGATAGTCTGGGGTACAGAAAGGGGTCAACTCTGGTTCCTGCTCCTGAGGTGGTGATGGCCCAGCTGGGGACCAATAGATGCTGTTTGGCCACCTGCATCCCCAAGAAGAACAGCACTACAGAAGGGTGCTGGCCCCTCCCCCTCTGCTGTTTTGAAGTCTGCAGGACAGTCACATGGTACATGGGGCTCATAAAGGTTCCAGGCTCGGGATTCATGGGGCCTGGAGGGGGCTGAGTCACCCACAGGCAGGAAGTCATCAGCAGCCACAGTAAACAGCAAAACAGCATGCTGGTCAGGCAGACTGTGTGGCCTGGGCCACCTCCCCACTCCAAAAATAAACTCCAGGAAAACAGTGTGGTCCAGAGTCCAGAAATGTCAGATTTGGGGAAATTCCTGCCAGCCAGGGCAGAGGGCCATGGGTCAGTGACTGACTGACCTGCCTCTTGCGGAAGCCTGAGCATAGGGTGCTAGGCTGGGCTGGACATGAGGAGACCAAGTCCTGGCTCTGGGTCTTACTGGCTTAATACAAGCAGCTCTTCTCTCTGGGGTTCAGATTTCAAGTTTGCAAAATGGGAAGCAGACTGCTCAAGCCTGCCTCACAGTCTGAGAGCTGAGTACAGTAACGTAGATAAAGTGAAATGTTGGGGAAGAGCTTTAGGGTCATACCTGGGCCCCCATTATACTGTCCTCTTACTATCATTAGAGCTTAGATCAGAAACTAGGGACTCTCTTGGGCTTCAGTTTCCCCCTTCTGTAAAATGGAGCTAACAATTCCCACCTCCTGATGGACAGGGCTTGTACAGGGACTGCAACCCGTCAGGAGGTGTTGTTATTATTAGGAGGTTTACAGAGAAATTGTAAAGCGTGACAGTTGTCAAGTGTGTCATTAGAGTGATTATCCCTATAGCAACCAAGGCCAACCGCCTCTGCCTGACTCTCAGCTCCCTCCACCCTCAGTCAGTCCCACTCCACCTGCCTCCCAAGCTGGCCTGATGACAGCAACAGATGATGAAGCTGACAGCTGATTGAGAGGAACACAGCCCCTCCTCACCACTCCTTGGGGAGGGACAGGAGCCCTGCTCAGCTACACACCCAGCCCAGTGCCAAGTCCTGCCCAGGCCTGTGGCAGTTTCGGGGAAGAAGGGGCACCCAAAAGATGGAGCCATCTGCAGGAAGCTCCCTTCATGCAGCTGACCTCTGGCCCTAAGGGGAACTGAGGCTGCCTCCTTGGGACACAGTGAGGGTCAAGCAGGGCTGAAGGTGCTTTTCTTCTGCCTGGCTTTGAATTCCATGGGCGATGATGTCATGACCAGTGTAGGGGTGGGAGGTGAAATGTAAGGACTTCCATCCCAGTTCACTCAGTTTCCACATAAACTCCCAGCCCAAGATCTGAGAGATACTTCTGTGGTTTTTGAGACAGGGTCTCTAGCCCAGGCTGGCCTTAAACTTGCTATGTAGCCAAGGTTGATCTTGAATTTGTGATCATCTTCTCCCCACCTCCCTTATCCCCAGGTATGAAATTATAGGCATACCGCCAGCCAGTTCATGCAGTACTGGCGACAGAACCCAGGGCTTCATGAGTGCTAGGTAAGCTCTGTACCAACTGAGCATAAATATCCCCAGACTACTTATGCCCATATTTATTTATTTAGAGACAGGGTCTCACTATGCAGCTGTGACTGGCCTGGAACTCGCTATGTAGACCAGACTGGCCTCGAACTCACAGAGATACACCTGCCTCTGCCTCCCGAGTGCTGGGATTAAAGGCATATATTACCATGCCTGGCCTTATGCCCATTTTAAAAAATATTTAAATTCTGACCACTAAAAGGGGTGGGGAGAGTTAAGAGGACAGTAAATTTCCAGTTCAACATGGAATGTATTTCAGGCATCCCAAGTGCTCTGCCATCCATTTACCAGCTCCTTGGCCAAGCCCCGCCCTCTGTCCTGTCACTGGGAAGGTGGGGGCAGGGACTCCACTCACTCTCCTTTGGAACACTCCCTTCCTTTCCCTATCTGATTGTCACACTTTTTCTTCAAGATGCTGGCCTCTCCTGTCAGAAGGCTACCTCCTCATCTGGGTGCGGAACCCCTCTTCCTTTGTCCTGTCCCCCCCTGCCTCAGGTAGCTCCTCCTACTGATGACCTGCCTGTCTTCCATTCTAGGTCTTCTCACAGCAGGGCCTTCGCCACGGGCAGGGCCTTCTTCACCAACAGCGCAGGGTCCTCAGTGCCTTGGAAACTGGGGACCATCTTGCCTTGGTTAAATATTATACGAAGACCCACCCATGACAGCCACCGTATGCCAGAGCCTGCTCTGAGCACTTGATAGATGGAAGTTTCCATAGTTTTCCCTAGATCACTGCCTGCCTGGGTGAGATCCATGGTCACCCACCTGCATGGAAGCTTCCTGGAGTGGGCTGAGGAGGGCCTGCAGGGCCAACCTTAACCCACTAAGGCATGCACTCACCCCCACTCTCTTCTTACCTGGTCTTCAACTCCTGGAGGAAGATTGCTAGGTCCCAAGCCACAGAAACACATACTCATCTATTCCTCCCTCCCTCCCTCCCTCCCTTCCTTCCTCCCTCCCTCCATCCACCCATCCATCCATTCATACATACATCCATTCATCCATCTATCCATTCATTCATTCAACCTCCCTCCCATGGTGGGTGGGCCAAGTGCTCCCTTGTCCCTCCCTCCATCTGTTTCTCTTTCTTTTCTCCCTGGAGACAAGGGTGCCCTCCTGAGATATAGGTCCCCACTGTGGCCTCAGTGACTGCACACAGTAGGTGCTGCATAAGTGTTTCATATGGCTAAATGGGACACCAGGGAAAGGCCCCAGCAGCCATCTGTGCCTGTCCACCACGCCCCCATCCTGGCCAAGGTCTCTCACCTGAACTCGGTGTCCCCCGCCCCCTGGGCCGCCTCCCGCCCCGGCCGCCCCGCTCCCACTTCCTCCTGCCGCCCCGCCCCTTCCACATTCCTGTCCCGCCAGGCCAGCCCCGCGCCGGGCCCTGCGCCGCACTTCGCCCGCCGGCCCGGGATGAAGGCGGCCCAGGCTGCGGGTCCGGAGGCGCCGCCCGGTGGGCTCTCGGTCAAGGTGGTCTTGGTGGGCGACGGGGGCTGCGGGAAGACGTCGTTGATGATGGTCTTCGCCGACGGGGCCTTCCCAGAGGTGAGTGCCCGCACCCCGGGCTTTGCTCTGCCCCTGCGCAAGGACACCCCACTGTGCGGGTCTGCCAGGAAAGTGCCCATCCCTGGCCTCCCAAGGGCTTCCCCAGCAGGGCCTGGGGTCGAGAGCAGAGTTTTAATGGCTTAGTCAGTACAAGCGAGTCCCCAAGTAATGTTATCTGTCTAGGGGGACCCTTGGCATCTACCAGGCAGGGGTGTCACAGGGACAGCAGCTCCTATCCAAAAGATTGTGAGGACTTTGGAGCCAGACTGGCAGGATTCAAATCATGCCTTTGCCTCTTACAGCTGTGGGCCTTTGGACACGTCCCTTACCCTCTCCTGTAGATGTTTCCATAATTGCATAATAGGACTAATAATAGTGCCCACCTGAGTTAATAAAAGAGCAAGTGGACAGAGGTTAGGTTAAGTGCTCAGCTCGAAGCATGCACCCAAGTTCGCGCTGAAAGTTGACAAGCCGTGTCCCTTGGGAGACTCTGGCTCTTCTCCAGCCCAAGCCACTATGGTACACATCCTGGGCTCCAGCTTAGATGGGAAGATTGTGGCAGGTAGGTTCCCCCTCTGAAGAGCCCATTCATTCTTATAACTTCCTTACTCCAAGCCTCAGTTTTTCCCTGCAGCCTCATGGAGCTGAAGAGTATTAGGGGTGGAGAGGTGGAGTTCACAAGAAGGCTCACCCACAGCTCAGTGCAGTGCCTGGTGCAGCCTGGATTTCTGAGCCTGTCACTGCTGAGACCGCTGGGATATCTCACTGGCTGTCCAGGCCACTCAGCAGGTACCAACGCGTGCAGGACAGTGGCTGGACCCTCCTTCTGTGCCTCTTGGTCACATGAGGAATGGGAGTCCTGGGGACCCATGGGTTTGCCTCTAGCAGTTCTCTCCCTTTCCTGTCCCTGCATCCTTCCAGCCTCTGGGGTCATGCAAGGCTGGGCAGTCTGATGGAGGAGGCGGGAGAGCTCAGCCTGGCACACAGTGCTGGGCCTTGCTTGGCCACCCCTGCAGAGTGAGCAACTGTCTTTTATGGTTTTTGGACTTTTATTTTTGAGACAAGGTCTTACTATGCAGCCCAGGCTGGCCTTGAATGCTCAATCCTACAGCCTCTGGCTCCAAGGATTATATGTATGCCACCATACCCTGCTCAGAACCTTTGGTTTTGTGGTTTGCAAAGGTGATGTCACCTCAGTTACCAGTTACACAATTTTTTTAAATTGGGGGTGTATATTTTCAGGGCCCCAGATGCTGCCCCATAGGAACCCAACCATTGTGGCAGCCAGGGGACAGGGCAGGGCACGTATGAGACAGAGGGGAGGACTCAACACCACTGTCCCATATCATTCTAAATGGTTGTTTTAGATGTTGATGGCAAGAGACATGCCAATTTAATATGGAAATAGTCACCTTAAGTCCATGAACTACATATATTTCAGACACACTGGGGAAACAGGAGGGTAGAGTGGCCATCAAGGGGATGGACTCTCTTTGTCTGGGTTCTTCCCTGGCACAAAAGAGGCCTCTTTTTAGTTAGTCAGTCAGTCAGTCAGTCAGTCAGTCAGTCAGTCAGTCCGTCCGTCCGTCCATCCGTCCGTTCGTTCGTTCAGTTAGTTCGGTTAGCTTTGAAGTTAGTTTTTGTGAGACAAGGTCTTCCCAGATAGTCCAGATTGGCCTCAAACCTGTGATCCTCCTGCTTCTGTTGCCTGAGTGCTGGGATTACAGGCATAGAGACTTCTTTATTTATTCATTATTTTTTGGATTTTTTTGAGACAAGGTCTCATGTAGCCCAGGCTGGCCTCAGATTTGCTGTGTAGCTGAGGATGACTTTGGACTCCTAATCTTCCTGCCTCCATCTTCCAGGCATGTGCCACTGTGCCTGGCTAGCAGCCCCTTTTGAGTAAAAGGTTCAAGAGCAGAAAAAGCTTCATTTTACCGATAGGAAACAGGCCAGAAAGCAGAAAGACAGGGTCTTGTGAGAGAATGGTGGTGGCAGTATTGGTCTGGAACTGGTCACCCTGCCCCCATCAGGGCATTCTGATATCTGAAACCACCACTACTCTGTCTGCTGGACCCAGCCTCCTCCTCCAGGCAGCCCTGGAAGCCTGGGAAGCCAGCAGCTCAGAGACTTGAGGTCTTATCTCCCAGGCTTCCTGCTTGCAGCAAAGGGCAGAGAGCATGCTGGGAATTTGGAGAAGCCTCTGTGACCCTCAATGGCTGTAGCCCAACTTCAAGTTCAAGGCAAAAAGAGTGAAATGGAGGAGCTCCTGGGACAGAGAGGGATGCCAGTCTCTAAGAAGTCCAAGCTGGCTTTGAGAACACAGCCATTCCTAGTGACCTATAAATGGGGCTAGGAGGTGGCAAGGAGCACCCAGCCTGCAGAACTAGCAGAGCCTTCTTGAACTGCACTCAGATTCCCATAGGTATCCTACCTAGAGAACCCTGACACTTTCTCAAGCCCTGTCCTCATCCTGTAATGGTCCCTGTCTGTGAGCCCCACAAGGGCAGGCCTGGCGCTGAGTTATTTCTATCCTAGCCTTCTCTGGTCTAAAGCAACTTAACAGATAAGATTAGGCACTTATTAGTCCCACAGAGGGTGGCCCTGCCTGGGGTTGGAGGTAGGGGATAGAGGGGTCAAAGAACACCACAAAAGATTTGGAAAGAGTCTCTAGAATCCATTCCAGAGTAAAGGGAGGGGAGGTGACACTTCTCAGTGAAGTAAGCAACCCAGCAGCCCCCTTCTATCTCATACCTGGTTCCAGGAGCTAGTGACCTCACAAGAGGCAGATAGTTGGGAAAAGGGCCTGGCCTCTGAAGCCAGATACTACTAGCTCTGTCACTAGCTGGCAAAGCTACTGCATGGCCCTAGGCAAGTCATATCTCAGAGCCTCTTGAGGATTACTCTTGACATTCTGAGGTTGTAGGGGTCAGAGAGATGAGCCTTAGAGAGCAGTGGACTGGGACCATCCTCACTGGCATTTGCAAAGCACTGGTCTGATCTCCCAAGAACTTTGTGGCAGACTGCTCTGTGGCTCACATCTGAAGATCTCCTCAGTAGCTATGTGGTGGCCATACTGGGGTCTCATGTACTGGTGTCAGTGTCTCACAATGACAGACAGTTCCCTGCTTTAGGGCAGAGGCCAGAGGCTGCAGGTAGGGGTGGGGAAGGGGGTACCCAGAGGCATGGATGGGGCTGGTGTGCATACTGTCTTGACAACCAGGTAAGCAGTGACCATTCATGCTGAACCTGGTCCTCCTTTTACATCCTGAGGTGACACTGTTCCCCTTTAACCAGTGCTGGCCCAAGGCCACATAGCTAGTGGGTGTCAGTCAGGTACTAAGCCAGGCCCATCTGACCTCCTAGCTTGCTCCCAGGTTATGCTGTCTTCTCCCCATTTTCCCAGTAGGAAAAGGACCCAAGGGAAGAGAGTGACCTAGGCAGGCAAGACAGATAGGGAGGTGGTTGGGGCCGTTGTTTGTTCCTGTCCTATTCTGAGGTCTCCATTTTCCCCAGCTTCCCACTCTGCCCTCTACCCCTTCGCCTCCTAGTCCCTGGAGGACTTACTAACCCACTGCTAGTACTGCCCCTCCCAGCTGACCAGGGCCTGACTCAGAGGACTGGCAGGCAGTTTGGCCTCTGGGTAGGCAGACATGAAGTCCTCCTGAGTCACATGAGTCACAGGTAGGTGGTGGTTCCGCCTGACATAAGAAAAGAAGACAGTGGTCCCCCACACTATGACTCTACCGGCCAGCCCTGGGGAAGTGATGGAGCCTAAGGGACCCAAAACACAGGAAGTTGAGCCTGGTATGGTGACCCACACCTGTTATCCCAGCACTCAGAAGGTTGAGGCAGGGGCTGGAGAGATGGCACAGTGGTTAAGAGCACTGTGCTCTTGCAGGGGCCTAAGTTTGGTTCCCAGCACCCACATGGTGGCTGACAACCATCTGTGACTCCAGTTCCAGGAGATCTGATATCCTCTTCGACCTCCACGGGCATTGCACACACGGGTGCACTTACAAACACACACACAAAACAAACACATAAAAACAAAACAAGGGGCTGGAGAGATGGCTCAGTGGTTAAGAGCACTGTGCTCTTGCAGAGGATCCATGTTTGATTCCCAGCACTCACATGGCGGCTACAAACCATCCTTTACTCCAGTTCCAGGGGAATCCAAAGCCCTCTTCTGACCTCCGCGTCATTGCATGATACAGGTGCACTCATGTACATGCAGACAATACACTCATACACATAAGATAAAAAATAATAAATAAAATATATTTTTTTAAAAAGCCAATCACGGTGGCACATGCCTTTAATCCCAGCACTCGGGAAGCAGAGGCAGGTGGATCTCCGTGAGTTCAAGGGTAGCCTGGTCTACATAGCAAGTTCAGGCCAGCTGGAGCTACAGGGAGACTCTGTCTCAAAAAGACAAAAAAATAAAAAAATTAAAAACAAAAAACAAAAAGAAGACTGAGACAGGAAAATTGCAGCAAATTTGAAGCCAGCCTGGGCTACATAGTAAGTTCCAGGACAACCTGGAGTATAAGAATTTGTCTTAAAAAACAGTTGCCAGGTGTGGTGGCACACACCTTTAATCCCAGCACTCGGGAGGCAGAGGCAGGCGGATCTCTGTGAGTTCAAGGCCAGCCTGGTCTACATAGTGAGTTCCAGGACAGCTGGGGCTACAGGAAGACCCTGGCTCAAAAAGACAAAACTTAAATAAATAAATAAATAAATAAATAATAAAAATAAATTTAAAACCTGGGATGAGATGGCTCAGCAGGTAAGAGCACTTGTACCAAGACTGATGACCTGAGTTTGGTTCCCAGGATCCACATGGTAGAAAAGAATCGACTCGCCCGAGTTGTCCTCTGACCTCCATGTGCACACTGTGGCAATAGTGTGCCTGAATAAATAAACACAGCTAGGGGCTGGACGTGGTGGTGCACACCTTTAATCCCAGCACTCAGGAGGCAGAGGCAGGCGGATCTCTGAGTTTAAGGCCAACCTGGTGCAGGCCACCTAGGGCTACAGGGAGACCCTGTCTCAAAAAGACAAAAAAAAAAAAAAACGGGCTAGGAATGGAGCTCAGTTGGTAGTGGTAGAGTGCTCACTTAGCAGGCATCAAGCCCTGAGTTCAATCCCCAACACTATAAACTGGGTGTGGTGGTAGCTGTCTGTATTCCCAGCATGTGGGAGGTGGAAGCAGGAGGATCAGAAATTCAAGATGATCCTTGGCTATATGAGACTCTGTCTCAAAAAAGAAGCCAGAGGTCCAGATCGCTCAGCAAAAGACTCCAGACATAGCTCAGGCCCCATTTGACAAAGGTTCCTGCCTTTTCATCTGCCTCTCAAACCTATCAGGTTCCCCACTCCCCAACCATTGTGGAGCTTTGAGTGACCCACTCCACAGAGGCCAGAACAGGGATCTGGGAGGGGGGTCAGGAAAGGCCGCTTGAGACAGGTAGCATGTGACAAGGGTCTGTTTGGATTTCAAGGGGTTGAGAGGAACCAGCCATGGTGGTATGTGCCTCTAATTCTAGTACTTGGGAGGTAGAGGCAGGAGGATTGTGAGGTCTAGGGCAGACTGGGCTACAAAAAAAAAAGAGGGAAGGAAGGGAGGGAGGATGCCAGTCTGAGGATATCCCATCCCCCGGATGGTCTACATGTGTGGAAGGAAGGAAGGAAGGAAGGAAGGAAGGAAAAGAGAGCCAGACCTGGTGGTGCATGCCTGCAATCCCAGGATTTAGGAGGCTGAGGCAAGAGGATTGCTGTGAGTTCAAAGCTAGTTTTTTAAAAATATTTTATTGATTATTTTTATTTTATGTGTATGAGTGTTATGCCTGCATGTAGATACGTGCACCTATGTTGTGCAATGCCCGAGGAGGACAGAAGAGGCTGTCGGATACCCTGGAACTGGAGTTATAGACAGTTGTTAGCTGCCATGTGGGTGCTGGGATTCAAATCCGGGTCTTCTGCAAGAACAGTGTTCTTAACCACTGAGCTGTCTTTCTAGCCCCAAGTTCAAAGCTAGTTTAGGCTAACAACCCCCCACCTCAAAAAAAAAAAAAAATGTCAGGTGTATTGGGTGGTGCGTGTCTTAAATCCCAAAATGTAGGAGGTGGAGACAGAAGGATCAGGAATTCAAGACCAGTTTCAGCTTTATGAGAGCCTGTCTCAAAACAACAAAATGATACATTGAGAGGTAAAGAAGAGACCCCAGAGCCCCAGAAGCTGGGATCCTGAGTGCCACAAGGCAGACTAAGTCTTGTTTAATGCGTGTTCCTTGGGCATAGAACTGGGCCTGGAGAAGGTGCTGTTTGCTGAGTAAATATATGAATTATATGAAAGAACAAGGGAAGGAGCTGATATAGGTTAATGTCGCTCCAGGAAGAAGAGCCTGCATGAAGGCCCAGAAATGAAAGGGAGTCAATGCTAATTCCAATAGCTGGCATGTATGGAGTGCTTGGTTTGTGCCAGGCCGTGTGACAGGGGCTGTACCTGAATTGTTTAATTGACTCCAGATAGCAACACTCTACCGCTACCATAGGGGCTTAATCTTCCCCTTTAATAATCAAGGAGAATAAGGCCAGGGAGGAGGGGAGACCACTGGGAGCTGTACCAGAAACAACTACACCACTGAGGGGCGGTGTGCAGGCATTTCTGGGGGTCTGGCTTGCCACACATCTCTCAGAAGCTTCCTCAGCCCTCTTCCCTTCCTTCAGAGCTACAGCCCCACGGTGTTTGAGCGGTACCATGTCAGTCTGCAAATGAAGGGTAAACCTGTGCACCTCCAAATCTGGGATACAGCAGGTAGGTGTGGGGCTTGGGAGGGGGTGAGCAGGAAGGAGGAGGTACTTGGGAGCTCTAGGTGCCTTCTGAACCAGGGATGGGCCCCAGGAGCCTGACCCCTCCTGGCCTTTGCACTTGGATTGCCTACATCCCCCACCCAGGGCAGCCTCTGAGTCTAGAGGCCAGCAAAGGGTAGGCAGGTCCTGGTCCCCCAAGCTTCATATCTTGAATTTAGCTTCTCTAAGATCTCCTGACCTTGGCCTCTGCCCTCCAGCATCCTGGCTTGCCCATACAAGGATTAGCTCCAAACTAAACTCAGGGAGTCCCAGCAGCCCTCTTACCTTTGATGGGCTGAGTCTCATCTGCCCTTCCTCTTCATGCTACAAGCCAAGGGCAAAACAGCCTCCTGAGGAATAGGCCTCAGCTCTTCCAGGCTGCCCTAGCCCTGGCCTCTGCCTCGCCCCTACTCCTTCCTGATCAGCAATGGTCTCTTCAGGGCAGGGCTGGCACATCCCACCGGCAGGCCAGGTAAGCGTTTCCCCAAGGGGATGTCCACATGAAGCAAAAAACTGGGTCCTACCCTTCAGGAGCCCCTGTGTGCGGAGGTGGACTCCCTGGTGTTGGTGAGATGCTGAGAGCAGGCAGGAGGACTAGAGGTGGTGACTCCCCTGTTCTGCCCAGGGCAAGATGACTATGACCGCCTTCGGCCGCTCTTCTACCCTGATGCTGGTGTGCTGCTCCTCTGCTTCGATGTAACCAGTCCAAACAGCTTTGACAACGTCTGTAACCGGGTAGGTGCCAAGGCCAGGGAGGCCCAGCTTTCACAGCCAGCCTGCTTTCCACCCTCGACCCTGTCATCTTTCAAAGCTTGGCAAGCCCTAGATGAGATGAGTCTGGTGCCTTTGGCATACACATGGGAAAAGTGAGGCCCAGAGAGGAGTAGCAACTTGCCCAGAATCACCAAGGAATGTAATGGCAGAGTTCCCATTCCAATGGCTCCTTGCCTGCCCTCCAACTATAGGCTCAGAATAGGGGCTCTTTATTTTTTTGAGAGGGTCTTCCTGTAGCCCCAGCTGTCCTGGAACTCACTATGTAGACCAGGCTAGCCTTGATCTCACAGAGATCCACCTGCCTCTGCCTCCCAAGTGCTGGGATTAAAGGCATGCACCACCACGCCTGGCAGAACACGGGCTCTTTCCCCTGTGACTGCTGAGAATGCTGTTGTCTTTCCAGCCTGGGCCTGCTGGAGGTCATGTAAACAGTAAAGTCCAGTTCTAGCAGTTCTAAGCGCCCCACCCTAGGTCTTCCACTGATGGTGATCAGTGGCCTCTCAGGATGCCCCAGAACCATGAGGGGTTCCCAAGGCTACACAAAGGGGTCCAGGAGGTGGTCCCTTGAGATCTTCTACCCCAGCCATGACAACCCCTCACTCACCGTTTGCCAGGACCTTCATGCCAGCAACACACTGCAAGATCCCTCTGGGTACACTCGAGACAGCACTAGCGAGCACAGCAATAAAGATGGCAGCAACAGCAGTGTTTCTTAGGAACCTACCGTTGGGACTGGAGACATGGCTGAGTGGTTAAGAGGACATACTGCTCTTGCAGAGGACCTGAGTTTGGTTCCCAGCACCCATACCAGGCAGCTTATAACTGCTTATACCAGTGCCAGGGGACCTGATGCCCTCTTCTGGCCTCTGCAGGCAACTGTACTCATGTCCACATACCCACAGACAGATATAAACACTCATACACATAATTCAAAACAAGAACTTGCCACATAACCAGCACTGTTCTGGCACTTGAGTGCATTTATTTATTCATTTAATCCCCTGACAACCGTATAGTCAAGATTCTTGGATTGAGTCACTTTATACCAAAGTGGCAACTCTGGGGTTGGAACTTCTCTCCAAGACAGAGCTACTGTTGAGCACATCTCTGGACCAGACCCTGTTGTGGGCATTAGGCATGGGGAGGGAGAGTGGTGCCTGGGGATAGGGTGCTGGAAGTGGGGTGGCAACAGCGGGTGGATTCTGAATCTTCCTGGAAGGAAGAGCACCAGGATTTGCTGATGGACTGCAGGCAGATGAAAGAGAAGACAGTGCTAGAGCAACCAGAAGGCAGAGTTACCACTTCCCCAGGAAGAATAGCAGCCTGGGAGAGGGTGGAGCTGCAGGCCTATGGAAGCTGGAGTCTGCAGAGAAATCATTGAGAAGCTGCCAGTCAGTTAGGTAGGGTATAGCCAGAGACCTGAGGAGGCCACCCAGGGAGTCAGAGCAGGTAGTGGAGAGGAGGCCTAACCCTGGGAGAGGAGGGACGGGCTGGGGAGAACCAGGAGAGCCAGATGATCTGGGTCTAGTGCCGACTGCCCTGAAGGAGGGATGATCCTGGTGTCAAGATTCCTGCAGGCTCAGCCCAGCTGAGATCTCACCACTGGGTTCAGTGGTGCCACCCGTAACCCCTTCCCTAGGACAGACTTGGTAGGTGGGTGGGGGTGTAGGGAAACTCTCCCTGGGCCTTGTTTGGTTCCAGGAGCCAGAGACTTCTAGCAGCTTTTCCTGAATAGTTCCTCTAAAACAGCCATGCATTCCTAAAGATGAAAAGTCCACCCTGTATCCCTGGTACCCCAGATGTATGATCCAGGCTGAAATAACACAGCCTTGGTGGCCTCCAGTTCCACTGCACATGACACAGGAGGGCCCTTCTCCCGTGTTGAGGCAACCATTTGGGGAGCTTATTTATTTCATGTGTATGAGTCTTTTTACCTACATATATGTAAATGTACCATATGCTGACAGTGCCCACAGAGGCCTGAAGAGGGTGGATACCCCATAACTGAAGTTAAGGATGATTGTTAGCTGTCATGTATGTGCTAGGAACTGAACCTGGGTCCTCTGGAAGAGCAATAAGCGCTCTTAACCACTGAACCATCCAGCCTCCTGTTTTAAATAAATGCATATTTGGCCCAGTTTGGGAAACAGCCATAGAGGCGCTTACCTTGCAGAGCTTGAGGGAAGAAGCAGGGCTCTGGACTACACCCCTGGACTCAAATCCTGCTGTTTCCAGTTGTGTGACCAAGGCTGAGGTATATAGTCCCTCTGTACCTTACTGACCCCGTGTATAGTGGATTCAGCTATAGAACCTGCTGCTCAGACATGAAAATTACACACATACTCTTTTTCTTGAGACTGTCTCAGGCCTTGAACTCCCTATGTAGTTCAGGATGACCTTGAACTTCTGAGTCTCCTCGTCCATTTCCCAGGTGCTGGGATTTGAGGCCTGATTTATGCAGTGCTGGGGATCTAACAGAAGTTCTTATGCTAAACAAACACTCTACCAACTGAACAACATCCCCAGCAGGGCTTGTAAATTCTTTTTATTTATTTTATGTGTATGGGTATTTTGCCTGCACGTATATAAGTGCACCTGTGTTGTGCAGAGTCTGTGGAGCTCAGATGAGGGCATCAGATCCCCTGGTACTGGAGTTACAGATAGTTGTTAGCCTCTGTGGGTACTGGGAACCAAACCTGATGGCTCTTAACCACTGAGCCATCTTTCCAGGCCCAACTTTTTTTTTTTTTTTTTTTTTTTTTTTGAGACAGGGTCTCCCTGTAGCCCCAGCTGTCTTGGAACTCACTACGTAGACCAGGCTGGCCTTGAACTCACAGAGATCTGCCTGCCTCTACCTCCTAAGTGCTGGGATTAAAGGTGTTCACCATGCCCTGCCTGCCCCAACTTATTTTTATTTAATGTATATGAGTATTTGCATGTATATAAATGCATACATGTGCAATGCCTGTGGAGCTCAGAAGAGGGTTTCAAATTCCCTGGAACTGGAGTTACAGATGGTTGTTAGCCACTGTGTGGGTGCTGGGAATCAAACCTGGGTCCTCTGGAAGAGCAGCCATCTCTCCAGTCCCACGTGTAAAGTCTTTTTTTTTTTTTTTAAATGTATTTAAAAATTTTTTATTTTATGTGTATGAGTGTATTGCCTGCATGTATGTAAGTGCACCCGTGTGGTGCAATGCCGAGGAGGTCAGAAGAGGGCTTCAGATTCCCCTGGAACTGGAGTTAAGGATGATTGTTAGCTGCCATGTACGTGCTAGGACCCGAACCTGGGTCCTCTGCAAGAGCAGTCAGTGCTCTTGACTGCTGAGCCATCTCTCCAGCGCCCACATGTAAACTCTTAAATGAGAGCCTAGCAGGAGTACTTAACTCTCTAAGTGTTAGCTCTGCTCACTGTCCATGTTGGAGTCCTACCAGCAGAGTAGAAGCTCCCAGTGGCTTACATCCTACCTGCCCCCTGCAGTGGTACCCAGAGGTGACACACTTCTGCAAGCGAGTACCCATTATCGTCGTGGGCTGCAAGACTGACCTTCGCAAAGACAAGGTGCTGGTGAACAAGCTGCGGAGGAACGGGCTGGAGCCCGTGACCTACCACATGGTAGGAAGCCATCCCCAGGGTGACAGGACTTAGGGGAGGGGACCTTCTCTACTGTGCGGTATGTAGCACACACAGGGGTCTTAGAGAATGTCAGGGGTCAGAAAGTGCCAGCATTTGGAAACAGTACCCAGAATACCCTAGGAGGAAGATCAGGGAACATACATAGCACAAATGGGGCCCCTGAGGCCCCAGTATTCAGTTTGTGAGCCCTAGTAAAGCCCCACTTTCTACTGTTGTCCCCAAGACTCTTAGCACGGTCAAGAGGGCCGTGGAGAGGCCAAATGTGAGGCCCACCCTGCACCTCCCACCCCACCCCCAGCTGATGGTAGTCCCATTCCCTTCTCCCTGGCAGGGCCAGGATATGGCAAGGTCCGTGGGTGCAGTGGCCTACCTTGAGTGCTCAGCGCGGCTCCAGGACAACGTCCAAGCCGTCTTCCAAGAGGCAGCGAAGGTGGCACTCAGCAGTCGTAGGCGCAACTTCTGGAGGCGGATTACCCGGAATTTTTGTGTGGTGACCTGACTGACTTGGGACCCAACCTGCCTCCCACTTTCACCAGCTGGAGAAAAACCTAGGAGCTGACCTTCTACTCTGTTGGCTGGGCTGGACCCAGTCTCCAGGCCAGGCTGGGCAAAACCCACAGATGGGCTCCACAGAGGCTGGCCCTGGGGCCTGGGAACCCTGGACTGAGGAAGGGGGTTCCCAGGTCTCCAGCCCTGGAGCCATTAATAGACACCTAGTGCCCTATGCTGGACAGGCATCCTGAGGGGGCTGTGCAACCTGGTTTGGTGCCACCTTGTGGCTATTCCCAGGGGACCTGGAGTTGTTGGGACCATCCTTTCAGAACCTACACCCTTCCCCTCCCCTTTCCCCCACTCATCCCATTGGTAAGTGTAACAACTAAAATTGACAACACTTGTTATGTGTGTCCTGCCTCTTGCTTCAAAGCATCTTCCCATATGTCCCAAGGTGGGGAAGGGCCCACTCACAAAGGCTCTGGGCTAGAACTGCTTGGATCCAAACCTGACTTTATCACTTCTAGGACCTTGGGAATGGCCTGTGCTTCAGCCTCCTATCTGTAAGATAGGGCCGATCGGAGACTACATCATGGAGCTCTGGGAATGACTAAGAGTCATGCAAGAAGTTAGCAGGTGCTTGGCATAGAAGGTGCATACTCATTTATCAGTGTGTTACTAAGCTTCTCCAGTAAAAACAGAACCAGTAAGACACACACACACACAAACACACACACCAGATTTTCTTTTATTCAGGGTCTCACTATGTAGCCTTGGCTGGCCTAGAACTCACTATATAGACCAGGCTGGCCCCAGACTCACAGAAATCCACCTACCTCTGCTCCCCAGTACTGGAATTAAAGCTGTGTACCACCATGCCCAGCTTAGAGATTTTATTTACTTTTTTAAAGATTTATTTCCTTTTTAACTATACGTATGTATGTGTGGATATGGGCACCTGAGTGCCAGCAGAGGCCAAAGGCATCAGATCTCCCTAGAACTGGAGTTACAGGTAGTTGTAAGCTACCCAACATGGGTACGAGGAACTGAATTTGGGTCCCCTGCAAGAGCAGTACATGTTCTTAACTGCTGAGCCATCTCTCTAGCCCCAAGGTTTTCTTTAAAGAATTTGTTCATCATACTGGGAAGATAGCTCAGGGGTAAAGGTGCTAGCCACATAAGCCTAGCAACCCAAATTTATTTATTTATTTGTTTGTTTGTTTATTTATTTTGGTCTTTTTGAGACAGGGTCTCCCTGTAGCCCCAGCTGTCCTGGAACTCACTATGTAGACCAGGCTGGCCTTGAACTCACAGAGATCCGCCTGCCTCTACCTCCCGAGTGCTGGGATTAAAGGTATGTGCCACCATGCCCGGCTTTTAGCCCATCTTTTAATTGGGTCATTTGGTTTCTTGATTCTTTGTTTTTTGAGTTCTTTATATATTCTAGATGTTAAACCTCTGTCAGATGTGTCACTGGTGAACATTTTTTCCCATTCTGTGGGTTTTCTCTTCACGTTTTGATTGTTTCTTTTGCTGTACGGAAGCTTTTTAGTTTAACGAGGTCCCACTTATTGATTGCTGACCTTAATTCCTGAGCAACTTCTGTCCTATTTAGAAAATCCTTTCCTACACCTCTATCTTCTAAGTTACTGCCAATATTTTCTTCTAATAGTTTCAGGGTTTCCAGTTTCACATTGAGGTCTTTGATCCTTTTGGAGTTGACTTTTGTGCAAGATGAAAGATAAGTATCTAGTTATATTCTTCTATGTTGGAGAGTTTGCCAGCACCATTTGTTGAAGATGCTGTCTTTCCTCCATTGTGTGTTCTTGGCAACTTTGTCAAATATCAGGTGGCTGAAATTGCTTGTACTCAGGTTTGGATCTTCAGTGATGTTCCATTGATCTATGTGTTTTTGTGCCGGTAGCATGCTGTTTTTATGACTATAGCTCTGTAGTATACTTTGAGATCTGGTATAGCAATCCCCCCAGTGTTGCTCTTTGTGCTCAGGGTTGCTTGGCTATCTGGGGTCTTTTGTGCCTCCATATGAATTTAAGGATGCATTTTTCTAATTCTGTGAAGTATGTCATGGGGATTTTGATTGGGATTGCATTGAATCTATATATTGCTTTTGGTAGGATGGTCATTTTAACAATATTAATTCTTCTAATCCATGAACATAGGAAGTTCTTCCATCTCCTGGTGTCTTCCTCAATCTCTTTCTTCAATAATTTAAAATTTTCATTGTAGAGATCTTTGGTGTCTTTGGTCAGATTTATTCCAAGATATTTTAATTTTTTTCCCAAAATTGTGAATGGGAACATTTCCCTGCATTCTTTCTCCAATTGCTTGTTGTTGGTATATAGAAAGGCTACTGATTTTTGTAGATTGATTTTATAACCTGCCACTATACTGAAAGTGTTGATCAGTTCCAGGATTTTTCTGGTGGAACTTTGGGGATCTCTTAGGTATAGTATCCTATCATCTGCAAAAAGTGATAGTTTGACTTCTTATTTTCCAACTAGTACCCCTTTAATATCCTTCTCCTGTCTTATTGATCTACCAAAAGTTTCAAGGACTATGTTGAAAAGGAATGGAGATAGTGGACATCCTTGTCTGGTTCCTGATTTTAATGGGAATGCTTCCAGTTTTTCTCCATTTGGAATGATGTTGGCTGTGGATTTGTTGTATACTAGGACTTTGAACATAAATGCATGTTGAATTTTGTCAAAAGCCTTTTCTCCATCTATTGAGATGACAATGTGGTTTTCGTCTTTAAGTCCATTTATGTGATTTAATGACGTTTATTGACTTGTATATATTGAACCATCCCTGCATCTCTGGGATAAAGCCTACTTTATCATGGTGAATGATCTTTCTGATGTGTCTGCATACAGTTTACAAGTATTTTGTTGAGAATTTTTGCATCTATGTTCATTAAGGATATGGGTCTATAGTTTTCTTTTTTGGTTGTGTCTTTACCTGGTTTGG